GGTCAGGAGATCTCCTTCCAGCTGACTGATAAGCACACCACCTGCACAGCACAGGGCATCTGCAAGTCTTTCCCAGCCTGGTCACAGCAGATCTTTATGGCCTCTGTGCTGGTGTGGCCATTGCTATCCCCTGCAATGCAAGATTGCTTCAGAAGCCATGGGAAAAGAATGCAATTAAGAGATAAATATGTTTTGGTTCTCGAAAGTTTGAGAGTCAGGCATTGCAACATTCTTGTAAAGACATTCCCTGGGATCTCAGCATCCCACATGGGGGTCAGTTTGAGTCCCAGCTGTTCCACTTCCAATGCTGCTTCATGCTATGGCCTGGGAAAGCAGCCGAAAACCCCAAGTACGAGGGTCCCTCCACCATTTGGAGACCCTGAGAAGTCTCTTGGATCCTGGCTTCAGCCTGGGACAGACATGGCCATTGTGGATATTTAGTTAGTGAACTGGCAGAAGGAAGATCTCGCTCTGTCTCTCCTGCTCTCTCTATAATTCTGACTTTCAAATCAATAAATAAGTCATTAAAAGTTGTGAATCCATGTGTAAATTTTTTCACAGCATGCATTTTCTATGCATTTTTTGACAGTCCAATTCATACTTTGAATAAAAGAGTTAGGAGATAGGTGAGCCTGGAACATCCCTTGCTGAGTGTCCCTTTGCTACATTGCATATCTGGGGACCCCAGAACAATGGCAGCAATTCAGCATCAAAGACCCCTTTGAAGGACACATTTTTCTCTAACTCAAGTCTATTGCCAACCTGTAGGAGGCTGGGCACTCCAGTTGCTGATCCTCTAACAATATATATATTTCATGCTACCCAAAGGATATCATATATCTCCTAAAACCTAATAAATTATACTTACACTGTATGCATCTCCCTAGAATTTGTCAAGTATTTCTTGCAGTAAGTATAGTGATTTTTATTGTTCAGTCATTTGCCCAATATCCTTTTGGCTCAGTAATCAAATGAAATTTGAACTCTGCATGTAAAAACAGGAATACGTAGCAGGGATTCTGTGGGTCGATGCCACTAGTTAATATGATAACTATTGGCTCAGTGCCTGGATAGAGCTGAGACAGATTCTGTGCAAAATGTGCAGGTCTGGACAACTTCACAACAGGTGCATCAGAGGCTGTCAAACAGGTGTTTTGGCAGCCGTACCTCCAGGGTCTGTAAGCCCAATGACATGTTCTGCCGAAAGCATGTAGAGTGGTGTATGTGATGAAGTGTGGCAGGTGGGCCCCGAGCCCCCATTGGAACAGGGCTGCTGCTACACTCTGTTAGGGACGAAGGTACGGGCACTTAATGGAGACCTTGGGTCTTAGAAAGGAGTGCCAGACCCCCACTGCACCCAGGTGTCCCCATCTGCCTGGGACCCCTCAGACCTAAGGACAGACTTGGACATCAAGCAGATTTCCCCTTCCCAAGGCCTTAGAACACTCCTCCCTGAGGATGCCTGGGCTTGCTTGCCTGAAAACTGAGCTCAATAATACTGATGCTTCCACTAGGTGGCAGCAGTCATCTAGCCCATGAGAAGTCTGTGTGAAGAGACTGAGTAAAAGCTTGCAGTCCATGAGCCAGACAGCCAGCCAGTGCTCCTGCCTCGGGTCACTCTCCTGAGGCACAGGCTGCCCTTTCACCTTCTCCTGTGAATGACTAGGTGTCTCTGGGTTCTATGAGCCCCAGCCTGCTCCACTCAGAGAAGCCACTTTGTCAGGAGCAGTGGAAAGGACCCAAGCTGCCGAGACCTGTTCCCTGAGATTCATGGTGTGATATCTGGAAGATTAAAAATGACCTCTGGATTACTAAAGAAAAGCTTGACTGAAAAATAAGCTAACCTACCGTGTTATTAGCACTGTGGCTTGGGTCTCAGTCAGATGTCATGAGCATTAATGCAGCTGGACTCTGAGAGAGGACTCCCATTGTTGAAACTGGAACAGAAAAGGTTGCATTTCAGAAAGACCTGCTCTCTGTATCCCTCTCAGCCCAGAATCCCTCAACCATTGCTCTGTTTTGTTGTGTTGTGTTTCTTGATCCTATTGGTAACATATGAAGGGACATCCTGGGTGACCCCAAGGAGTCGTAGACTCAAATGGGTTTCTTCTACCAGTACCTGGTTCTGGTTATTGGATATGGAAGATTTCAGAGCATGAGATCAAGATGAGTTGATAGAATCTGTCAACTCTGGTGGACTCCCACACGTTTCCACTAGGAAGTAAGAAGGGACAACATTGAACTTGGCACGTTCTCCCATTACATCTGTCCATGAATACTGACCTCTCTATAAGGGAGGTTTGGCTGTGGGTGGGTAGTTGAGTGGCAAAGGGAGGTTCAGTGATAGGGCATTTGAACAAACAGGCTACACCACCACGTAAGGAAAGTCAGATTCCCAAAACCTACAGAGTTGTGTTTAGATATATAGTCCAATTTCAGGTTACTTTTTGTACAGAATGAAGTAATGGTTGGTTGTCTTGTTTTCTTTTGGGTATTCAGTTATGCTGCCATCATTTGAGGAAAAGATTTTTTAAACTTTCTTTGAAATTGTAGTAAAAGGCATGTAATTTTTATCATCATAGCCTTTTTAGATAGATTAGTCCTATCAACTTTTGCATATTATTGTGTAAATATCACTCCCATCATCCTGCATAACTTCTAATCTCATACAATGATGAACATATAACTGTATAAATGCTAATGTTCAATTTCACTTCACCCAAATCCCTGGCAACCAGCACTTAACTTCCTGTCTCTGACAGTTTCCTCTAGGTCTCTCATGTAGGTGGCATGGTACAATATTAGTCTCTGTGAAGGCTTCTTTCACTGTGTGTAACATCCTCATAGTTGTCATCTGTGCCATGGATGTCAGAATCTCCTCTTTCTGAAGACCTGAATACTACTCTAGAATTTCTGTACCATGTGTTAGCTGTCCTTTCACCACCAGTGCACACCAGGGTGCTTCTCTGAGTTACAGCTCCTGAGAACACACTGCTGTGCGTGTGAAGTGCTAATACCTAGTAGAGACTGTGCCTTCTGTCTTGTGGGGTGTACACCACCAGCAGAATCCCAACACAAAATTGTATTTCATGGTGAATTAATCAAAGTGTCCACAGTCTCAACAACACAGTGTTTCTGCAGAGGTTCCAAACAAATGGTTTTGAGGTTGTCTCTCAATGAGAGTTTGAATTCTATTTCCTTAGAGGGAGGGAGAGAGGGAGTGAATGCCTGGTCCTGGGAAGAACTCAGCACAGTACCTGGTACATAGCAAGTGAGAGACAGATGTTGGTGTCAATGGAGTTGGTGTGATACCCAAATGTCCCTGTGAGGTTGTCACCCTGCTCATTGACCCCTATAAAGCTCAGGGTGGGCTGGTGAGTGCACAGTGTAGCCCTGTCCGCCACCTGCCCATCCTCCTGGCTCCTGTCAGAGGCACCAAAAGCAGCAGTGTTGCTACCCTGCTTCCTCACGTTTCCTTCTTGGTGGTGTGGTGACAAGGGACTGACAGCAGTTCTTCTGCTCCTCCCAACTCTTCAGTTAAAACACAGCAGATCTGTTATACTAGTGTGTGAATGACTACAGTCACCCCTGCACCCCTCCCTCTTGACCTCACCCAGCTTCTGCCACTCTCACATCCCTTGGCTGCCCTGTGCCAGCTTGGTTCCCGTTACCCCATTCCATTCCTGAGATGCTCAGGAGGGCGGCTCCAGTCTGTTTCTGTTCATCTCAGCCCCAGTCTCCCAGCACTTTCTGCCTGCACTGCCCATGTGTTTGCTCAGGTTTTTTTTTATAATTATTGATTGGGAGAGAGAAAGAGATTGAGCTCTGCTTCCACAGGTTAACTCCCCAAATACCTTCCATGCCCCCAACTGGGGACAAATCTGGACTGGAAACTCAATCAAGTTCTCCCACGTGGGTTGCGGGAACCCAGTTCCTTTAGTCACCACCACTGCACACCAGGGCCTGGATGGGCAGGAACTGAGAAGGAGTAGAGCCAGTGTTGGACCCAGGCACTGTGACTGAGCCCTGGGCATCTTGGCCTCTAGGACAAATGCCTGCAGCTCCCTCCTCCTTCCATTACAGCCTCCTCGCAGGCTGCTGTGTGTACCCAGGCCTCTCTCCTACTGCCCAGGAAGGAGCTCTGCAAGGGGGGGTGCTGCACATGGTAGGGGGTGGCTGCTCTTTCTTGAGTGAAGACAGCAGGTTCCTCTAGATTGTGGTCTCGGCTGCCAGATCTCCTGGGACAGTCTTGCTTCTCCCATACAAACGATGCAACCTTGACCATATCCAAACCCCACAGTACACTGGGTTCCCCTCCTGGAATCTGCACACTGCATACCATTCAAACACCACAGTCCAGTGGACCAATCTATGAAGACAGGGGCACAAGACCGGGTCACATCAGGGGACCACTGAGGATGGGTGGGGAGGTCCCACCCTGGCTGTTCCACCCACTTGTTTTCTGGTTTAGGTTGATGAGATCATGTGGGACCAGACACAGAGAGACACACACACACGGGTTGAATGAATTTTGAAACAGCACCTGAGTTTATTATGCTTGTGAATTCAGCAGGAAGTGCAGGTGTCTCCCTGAAATCACCAGGCAGACTCCTTCAGCTCAGAGACAGCACTGGGGGCCCAGGGGGCAGGCGCCCAGGTCACAGCCTCTGCCAATCACACCTCAGGAAGTGAGCATCAGCAAAGGGCAGAACACAGACTCTGTCCCAACACTGCCCTGCGCTCTCATAGCACAGACGTCCCTGCCTGATGGGAACCTGGGAGCTGCACACACACAGAGGAGCCTAAGACACCACCTGCCTGAAGCACCTGCTCTTCTCCCCCAGGAGGAAGACTGGGGCCTAGGGCGACGCTGCAGAACAAGCTGCGGGAGGCCTGTCACTCCCGGGTCATCTACTGGAACTTCTGCTGGAACCTGTGCTCATCCTCCTGCTGGGCTGGCTGTGTCTGGTGCTGCTGTTCCTGCTGGCCCTCGTGCTGACTTGTCTTCTGGGATGCATTCTTGGATTGGTGGGCATGGCTCATCTTGTTTTGACTTGTGGTGGGGGCGGGCCTTTTGCTCTGCATTGCCTCCTTGGAGAACTCTTAATGTATGTCTTTGGATGGCTCTGTCTGGGATGGCTGCTTCCCCTTGACTGACACCGTGGGGGTGGGCTTCAGTCCCTGCACAGACGTCTTGGAAGCCAGAGTGGGGCTCAGCAGCGTGAGACTGGATTCTGGATACTTGGTACCACACACCCTGGTATTCAAGATGGCCTTGGAGTCCTCACAGATGCGGTTCAAATGGCGCAGGCGCCAGCCAATTTGTCTCCAGTAGACCTTGTCGTTGTTCAAGCAGTGCAGGCACGCCGTGGGGTTGCCCGCAAAGACACAGGAGAACTCGTGGTGCAGTCGAACACAATGGGCCTGCAGATGGACTCCTGCCTCCTGCCTGGTCACGGTCACATTGCATTTGGCCTGGTCTCTGCTCACAAAGCTGCCAGTGACAATGACCTGGGTTGGCGGGCTTGTGGACACTATCACGGGCTTCTCCAGAGGAACCCACCCATCCTGCTCTGCCTCCAAATTCATGTCATCCTCTTCTCCACTTTGGGCCTCTGTCAGGAGCCCCTGAGCAGCCAGCAGGAGGACGGAGAGCAGGGTGAGAGTGCAGGTCCACATGGCTCAGCTGAGCGGGCACCTGTTGGACAAAAGGCAGGGTCAGTGGTGCAGGGTCAGTGTGCAGGTTAAGTGTGCAGGGTCAGTGGTGCAGGTTCAGGGTGCAGTGTCAGGTGCAGGGTCGAGGTACAGGGTCAGGGTTCAGGGTCACTAGTACTGGGTCAGTCGTGCAGAGTGAGTGTGTCGGGTTTGGATATAGGGTCAGGATGGGGGTCAGTAGTGCACGGTCAAGGTGCAGGGTCAGTGATGCAGGTTTCCATTGTGCAGGGTCAGAACAATGGAGGTGAAGAGTTACAGGGTGGCCTCCCTCCTCCCTGCCACAGTCCTGCCTGATTTAGGAGGAGACCAGCATCCTCTGGCTCTGGGATGCCAGGGCAAGCAGCCCAACCTCTCCCACGTGCACCTGACCTGAGACTGCAGCGACCCAGGCTGCCAGGCCTCGCCTGCCCTCTGCACTCACTGAGCCTTGTGAGCGCTCAGTCCCTCGTCCCCTCACTCACCCACTCCTGCTCCTCCCACCCACTCGTCCTGCAGCACTCACTCAGCAAGCACCTACTGAGCACCTACTGCATGCCATGCACTAGTTAGGTTGTCTACACACTGAGGTGAATGAGAAAGACTTGGGTCTTTAAGAATATGAGGCTGATCCCTGGGAACTGTAAATAGCACTGACCAGGGATTCTGTTTCATCTGTGTCCTAATCTCTTCTAGGAAAAGTCACTTTCTCCTCTGTGCCTCATCCTGCACCTCGCACTCAAGGTCTGCATGAATTCATCACCAACTCCTCCTGCTGCCCCGTGCTTGGTCTCTATCTCATTGTTCCACAGACATCCAGGACCCAAGATGGAAAGGGGGCAGGGAGAGTGCTGAAGGTGCCAGGAGGTGACCCAGAGGCTGAACCCCATGGAGGCTGACTCAGGGGCTGTGGGTGGGGAAGCTGTCTGGGGGGAAGTAAGAGCTCAGGAAGTGCATGGATGTGTGAGCTCATCTGATCCCAGCAGGGAAAGAGAAAAGGGAGGGGAGCAGCGAGTTTCAGACAGCGTTTGGAGTGCAGGTGCAAAACAAGAATCCTACCTGATTGGGTTCTGTGACCTGAGTGCTGAGCGTATAAACGCCCTTAACCAATCCTTGAAAAAATTGCAGAATTCACAGCAAGGCTTTCAGCTCAATAGAAACCATGCGTAAATGCATGTCCCTTCCCTACTTCACATCGTAACTAACGAGAACCAACTACCAGGCTGGTGACTCCTCCCTTACTATTCCTGGATTTCAACTGTTCTCCAAGACTTAAGGACCCATTGTCCCCCCTGTCCTCCACAGCTGCCCTGTCTCCCTTACAATCATCCTGCAGGCTTGCACAGGGGAACAGCTTGTTCTGGACTAAGGCACCTGCTTCATCCCGGGCCACTCTGTATACACCTCGTCTCCCTGCCCATCTCCTCTCTGCCCAGTGTGGAACAAGGGGTCTACTTCCTTCCCAGGAACATCAGTTACTGCAGAGATTACTTGAATCCATCCACACTGGGAGGAAGAAGAGAAGTCCAATTCTATCAGACACCGACTGCACGCTGAGCACTGGTCCAGCGACCAGTCTCACCTTGTTTAATCCACAGAAAACCTTGCAACCAGGCTGATTACAGGAACAGCCCCAAGAAAGAGTCCTGGCAGTGAGGCCCTGCCAGGTAAGTAACTGTGCTGGTCCAGTGTGTGGAGGAACAGAGCCCCGCAGGGAGTGACCCCATCTCCCTATCCCTTCCTGCCACTTCTTGTAGTCACCCCTGCTCTGCACCACTCACCTAACTTTGAAACAATGCTGGCAAAAGGAAGACAACTGTGAACCAAGCAGGATTTAGCACTGATAAGTTGATTCACATAAGCTGAGATCTTTTCCCAAAATGAAAGAATTGTGGGGCTCGTGCAGTGGCGCAATGGGTTAATCCTCTTCTTGCGGCACCAGCATCCCATATGGCACCGGTTCTAGTCCTGGCTGCTCCTTTTCCAATCCAGCTCTCTGCTGTGGCCTGGGAAAGCAGTAGAAGATGGCCCAAGTTCTTGCGCCCCTGTACCCAGGTGGGAGAACAGGAAGGAGAACCTGCTCCTGGCTTCGGATCAGCACAGTTCCAGCCCTGAACCATTGGGGGAGCGAACCAACAGAAGG